AACAAGGTTTGAGCCAAAGCATCTTACATTTCTCCTCTAGTATTCTTTGCAGTAGGCCTCAGGAAGAGCAACGCCAGCAATGTGAACTTCTGTTACCTTTTTCTTCCCTTTCTTTCAAAACAGAAACCAGCTGCTTCTGACGCTTTCATTTTTTAATTTGCTTTCCTGTAGAAACACTCCTTATATATGGGGGGAGAGATGCCGAGGAGTTGGCAGTTCCCCCAAAGCCCTATTCTAGTTTTCCATTATATTGATTTCTGTGTTCTGGAACACAAGGGATGCACACGCCGTACTCCGCAGTCCATCAGAAGTTTTTCTGGCTTAGCTGGAGGGCTTTGTTCAAGCAGAGTGCACGCTGGCTCACACCGTCTTTCTTATTCCCCCAAATAACCCAGGTTTTGCCACGGAGCTGGGCAAGCTGCCTTTGCAGCCCTCCCCGAGGGGCACCCTCGATTTTCAGAGTAGAGGAGACAAAGTTATACTAAAGGACTTGGCTCGCATGGGTCCCTTCAGGGCTTTAAATGTCTAGGGATATGATTAATAGTCAAGGTTAATAAAATATTTGACACACCCGTGCCAGTCTTGCTTAGAAGCTGTTCATTGTAATGGATGTAGGGGGGCTCAGAATAACGAACTCCAGTGGGAACGTGAAGGAAGAGATTGAAATTTCTTTCCCCCAGTGGGAATGTTTCAGAAGACACGGGGTGCTTGACGTCTGCCTGCCCTGTGCTTGCGGAGCACGCGGCAGCTTTACGCCGGCCGACCCGCGTCGCCCGCCGCGCGCGTTCGCCGGGAGAACTTCCCAAAAGGAGATGTCGGCCGCTTCCTCCACCTCGTATGAGCACCACGTGCCAGGGTAGGGGGAAGGAAGCTCCCCCCCCCGAAAACTCACCGTCCCCCCATCTACTTTTCAGCTTTCTTGCTCCATTTTCCCCCTCTTTCTTGGAGCTCCTCGAGTGCTTTCTACCACACTGTCTCTGTTGCTGGAATATATATATATTTTTTTTTTCCTGCAGAGGTCTGAAAGTTGCTGCTTTCTTTCCTCCATGAAGCTTTCTTCCTTCTTTTGTGGCGCCTGTTAAAATTTTGTTGGGAGAGTTACTAGTCTGAGTTACTAAAATTTGGTTTTAAACAACAATCTCTTAACTTGGTCCCTGCACCCAAGTGCTGCCAATACGAATAAGGGGTGCACCTGCATTTACTCCTTTCTGCTGTGGTGTTCATCACCTTTCTCCTCATCTGGCAACGTTGAATTGGTTTCTCAATCGAGTGCAGGTTTTGTCCCTTATCTGTATTGGACATAGAAACAAAAATATTCTACTGAGCACCAAGAAAGAACGGTTTGCTTCTCTGAAGCATTTTCATTTTCTGGGGAAAGTGGGTATGAGTTATTCTCCTGTTTCCCATATATATTCTGAGACTAAGATGCAATTTTCAACTGCTAGCCTTTGCTGTTCACTTTGAAGATGTCACTGCAGATCGGTTTAAGATATCTGCAACTTCTTGCACTGTTTCATCTTTTTAGTTTGCAAAACCTATTTGCAGTCAGACTTTGGTAAATTTGAAACTAATTCGTCATCTTGTAAGATTAATTTCCTAAAATGAGCTTTGCTGTTATTTTTAAATAACTTCAATCATTATCCTCAGCCTGAAAAAATGCTGTGGCTACAATAGCTAACAACTGCCTGTTTTTAAATAAAATAAAAAAAATTAGTTAGGTACAGGGTATTGGAGTTACGGTTTCTTTATGTGCAGAAATTGGGGGCGAAAGGAATTCTCTGATTGCCATTGTGTTTAATTTTCTACTGTTTTAATCAATGCTACGTAATTATTTTAAAATGTATATTTTAAAAGTATTTTTACTACTGGAGTAAGTTGTTATTAGAGTGGTTATTAATCTCATAGCATTTCCATCAGTTTGCACTCAAAATAATAAAACATCAAGTTTATGGTAGATGCAGTTCTCCAACTAACCCGAGCGGGATCTGCGTCAGGCCCTGCATAAGAATATATTCTTAATTTGTCCTGATACCCGTTAAGAATTTCCTCTCTAGAGAGTAAAAAGGGTGCTCCACGCCGTGGTATTTGTCGTAGAAATTCCTCATGCATCTAAGAGACCGAGAGGGAAGGGGAAACGCACACCGGAACCTGTTTCCTGCGGTGGGCAAAGCGCAACAAAATTTAAATAACAACTTTCCTATTTTTTTAATAGTTGACACTGGCATCAAGTGTTCAGAATTACTTTTTAAACTTCTGATTGCAGAAGTTGGCACTCTCTGATGGAATATTGTCTCTTCGATTTCTCCTTACCAATAAGCCATTTATAACCACCTATTCTCAATCGTATGTTACAGCTTTTGCAGAGGGTCAAAAGCAAACCAAAACCAAGCCCCACCAGAAAAGAGCAGAAGAATCAACTTGTTTTCCCAGAGCTGGTTTCTGCAAGGAACGAAATCTTGCAACTGTCAAAGCGGTGTTTTGCTTAAATATTTTGCATTTCAATGCATTTAATTTCCGCTCTTTACATTTATCTGTAAGTACTTCAGCAGCTATCTAGCAACTGCTCTCACTCGTCTTGAACATCCACTTGTCTTCCCTGTTAGGCACTGCTCAAACGGGTTCCTGGCGAGAGGAGTTGTTGTTGTAACTGTTTATTAGGCGACATCATTTGCCTGCCATCCTGGAAGATTTTTAAGTGCGTGTTCACTGAAATGTACGGCGTTGCTGAGGAACCTTTTGCATTTTGCCACTTCACTTCACCTAATGATCTGCTTCTACAGTGATGAGTTTGTTTACTTACTTTTGGAGGTGACACCGAAATCTGGGAGAGTTGACCCTTGAGATGAGACTTCATATTACTTAGAGAGTATGAATATTAGTTTAATCTCGTAGACATCCATAGATTTACTGATGGGTGCAGTGTGCACGGAAAGTATGCTTTTCTCCATGCTGTGCATATTATTTTGTGGGATTTTTTTTTTTTTTTTTCAGTCCATCCTTCTGAAGCTACGTAGAAGTACTAAATCTTCAGGCTTTAGCTGTGCTGACTGTAACCAAAATGATCAATTCCAACGTACAGTTCTACATAATATCCAACAAAAACGTTTTCCCTACACAGTCATTGGAACTGGTAATTACTGTAGCAACTACAGACTAATTTGAAGTGTTAGCTGTTAATTAAAACACTACAGAGGTGTACGGTTGTCTTTTGGTGTAACCAAAGCTCCTATTCAAACTTCATTAATCACTTTACAGTTATTGTGTTGAGGAAGGTCAGGACAATTGAGAGGCCGGATCAGCCTGGAGTAAACAAATTCCTGTCCTCCCAGGTAGCATGCCATTTGCAAAGCCACTGGACACGCGGTACCCATGGGCATGGTATCTCCTTTGTGATCCAATTCTCAGCGATAATTAAATGTTAAATTGGTACTGTCAGTGCTCTGTAAACCAAACCAGGTATCTGCCCTCTGCTGGAAATTTAACCCAAACTTCCACGGATGAATTAGCGTGCATCATAATTAAATAATCAAGTCTTCCCTTTTAATTCACTTGGAAACAGGAGATCTCTCTTATGGAAAAAAGATCAGCTTTCTTGACAAGCTAATTAAGTTGCCAAACTGTCCGGCACAGTACATATTAAGCTAACAGACGTTAAGCATGCTATCTCAACCTGTTCATTTTCTTATCATTTCTGCTGATCTTAAGTCCATAATGTTTTGCCACTGTTGATTCATCCATAGTTACAGCAGAGTTCATTTACTCCCTTGGATTCATTGGTTATGCATTCAGCTACCGGGCTGTCAGAGCTTCATCTGATGATTTTGCCTTTTGCCTGGTGTACTGATATTAAATAACACTGATTTTTTGGTATGGCTTTTTAAAATGTGCTTGCTCTTAAAAGCTAATGCCGCTTGGTTACATAAATGTTTATCCATGAGTTATTAAATTAAGGTGAAGTTTTAAAAACTTCCAAGCTCTTAACAGAAATTATATAAGCACTCAGGGTTATGAATGAGATTAAACAACAGTCTCACCCTGTACTGTGTATGATTTTGCATGCAAAAAAACCCCTATTGAAGCTTTTCTTCTTCAGTAATAATTGCTAGAGGTATATAGTGGTAAAATATTACAATTCTTTAAAGTTAGTGCCACATATATGACAATACTGTGCATAGCGTCATAAATCAGTATGAGACAATAAAACTAGTGAAGAGGAAAACCTTTAATGGTTTTGTTTTTATGCAAAATTACATCGGATTTTTAGTAGATAGGTTTTTCACCTACCTTTTTATTTTCTTGCAAGTTCATGGTTAGGAATACACAAGTCATTGTTAAAGAGCCAATTATGAATGTATGTCTTCAGAAATTAAGACACACTGCTCTTGAAATACTGTGGAAAATTATTTTGGTACATGTGAGCATTAACAATAATGTTTTCTAACCTTATGTGCACGCAGACGTGCTCACCTTAAATACCAATGCAGAAAGTTAATTTCGCTAGTATTTTCTGTGGGTCCTTATGTTACTATAAAGAATCAGTCATTACCTGCTTTACTTCACTTTAACTGATACAGCCATCAACCTCCATTTCTTACCACTGAAAATACCCACGGGACTGGCAAACTTGCATGATAAACCTTGTTTTACGTGAAGATTCCAAATAATGGACATATCATAATTTTATTTCATTGAAAGAAAATGTGAAAGTGGTTAAGTTCATGCTTATAAGTTTGCTATTATACTGTACAGAAGTCTTCAGTGTGTAGTTTTTATATAAAACATGGAGATGCAAAAACCTGCTAAATGGCTTCATAGTAAGTATATTCTCTTGATCAATTGTTTTCATCAGTCTTTCTTTAGAAATGCTATATAAAATTGGTTTAATGTAAAACGTATTAGCTCCAAGTCATTTTTCTGTGAAATTAGTGTATACATGTTGCACATATGTATAGAGGTAATTTTATGTGATCTCAAGTTATTTAATTTTTTCCCTCATGCAGGGCATATCATGTCCCTAGTGGAAAAATACTAGCAGTAAAGGTAAGATATTACAGTAATTTTCTTTCTCTCTTTCTTTCTCTCCATTCTTTCTTGACCTTGCTTTCCTTCCCCTCCCTCCGATTGTTAGATCTCAGTTTGGTTTATTGCATTAAAGTCCACATTGTTTATGCAGGAAAACTTCAGCCCATCCATTTAGTAATTCCAAGCGAGCCCGGCGTTCCCAGAATCCAGGCTTTGGCCACTGGGAATTGCTTGGCCACGTCTTCCCGTGGGCTCACGGGGACGCGTCTACGTGCGGTTGGTGCCCAGATGCTGCTTCACCGTCCTGAACCTCTGCTCGTGCCAAACTGTCCCCGAGGCCACCTTCTTCAGTGTCTCTGCAGCCTCTTTTTTAAATAAAGAGCATTTCCCTGTGTTCTTTGGGAAAATACTCTGTTTTCCTAGGAGGTTTTGTGGTTTTAACAGGTTTGTTTATTTTAATGTCCTGTCCCCCGATTTGTTGGTTTTAGTCCAACTGATTTGGCTTTTTTTTTTTTTTTTTCTTGTTATCGTTCTTTGCAGTGAAGCTGTATTCTGTAGTGTTATGCAGTCAAATAAATACCGGTCTTGTCTGAAAGTTCGTTTACAGTTGTGGTAAACAGTATGCCAACTCTTGTATGTAATTTGTTCAATTAAATTAAATTTGTAAATTAAATTATTAACACAGTTAATCTATACAAAAATATTTAAATATGTCCTTTTTAATAGATCAAAATTTTTTTATTATTATTTAGAAATTTTGTTACAACTCAAAGCAGTAAAGACTTTTGCATTCATACAATTCCAATGAATAGTTCGGGATCTAAAAAAAAGCTATATGTAAAAAATATAATTTATGGAGTAATTACTTAGAAAACTGTAAAATGGGCTTTCTTGTCTCATTTTTTTTTTCGCTGTCATTACTTAATCATTAAATACTGGTGTAACTGAGCTAAAGTGAAAGAATGGGGGTGGGAGAGGAGGGCAAGGGAAGGAGTGATGGGAGCTGGTTGCTGCAAGCAGAATTGATTTTAAAATGGAATTTAAAGATGTAAAATTATACTGTGGCTTCAAATGAAGCATTTATATTTACAAGGTAATATTTATATACATGGGTAACTTTTAGATTTGGGCTCAGATTGTCTTGTGGTTCCAGTCAGATATGAGTTACTAAAAGGAGATTCTGCCCATGTTTCGGCTTTCCTGAAGATCACGCAAAATAAATCCCTTCACCCCGCTAGGAGAGAAGCAAATGCTTACACTGGATTTGAAATGATTGCCTGCATGTGGAAAATACGGAACATCCAAGTAACTTCAAATTAAACGGAATACACCTATCACTTGAAAATGTTTTTTGCAAAAATCACTTTGAAAAAGTCTTTTCAAGTGGTGTCCGTCATTCCTAAAGCTGTAAGGAGCGGTTAGAGTAAGACAGGAATTCTCTGAGTGTGTGTAAAGGGCACAAAAGTGTGCAGAAAGTTTAATATTACCAAAATCCTTTTTATTGCAACTTTCCATGTGGAACGAAAAAAAAGCTCTTCCCTTAAACACTGGGGTAGCGTGCGGGTGCTGTTTTTTTCCGGGTACCTACTACGCCGCTTCCCCGAATAATCCGCAGAGAGCATCTCCTGGGGCAGGCTGCCCCGAGACGAGGTGGAGCAAGAGCAAAACGTGGCACAGGCGGGCGGGGAAACGAGTTCACCCTTTGCAAGGTTAATTGAAATCACCTCCCTGTGGCAAAAAGCCTTTTCCCACCCCCGGCAATTTCACCTCCTTGTTTCCCTTAGAGTCCCAGGGTTTGGGAAATCCGTGTGGATAATTAACATCCTGAAGATTTGGGAAACTGGGTTCTTTTGGAGATATTGCTCGTGGTGGTCCTGTCACTCAATTATAGATATATATATATATTTTTTTTTTTTTAAAGCATGGTTTCTGAAGAGATACTACATCAACATGTGTGTGTTATCATAGTTTAAAACAACGCGCACAAGCTGGAGGTCAGGAAACCTGCTACGATGGCCATCGTGACGGCTTGCTTGATTAAGAAAATTCTTTAACACATCTATGGCTGAGCATACGCGGCAGTAAAGAGAGGGTTGGTAGTGCCAGCGCCTTGACGTGCTCATCACATGGGTCGAGTGTTTTGACAGGGGATTACCACGATAATAGGGACGTTGCTGGATGGATATGTGAACGTGAAATTCTGCTTTTTCGAGGGCTTTTTTTTTGATGATAACATACCGATTTGATAGGACCAGATAACATTCTGAAAACCTGTTGATTAAAATGCTTTCAGCTGGTAGATAATCTTGGATACGTATTGAACAGGAAAACAAACCAAGGCTAGTACCTATGTTATAGACCAAAGCTACGTCATTGTATATTGTATGTGAACTCCACAGCTAGATAACTTGCAGAGGATTTAATAGACTTTTTAAGGTAACTTTTTTCGAATTAGAGGGGGAAAAATCTGAATGAAAAATTTGAGCGTACACTGGCTGATTGCCATTCTCCAACTGCTTTTAGTTTCTCCTGCTCTTAAGCTAGCATTTAAATGGACCATTTGATTAATCATTTGTATACTGACTATAATACTCCCAAATTTCCTTTGAGTTGTACATACTGTAAAAGACAATTATGTCGCCACGGATTAAATAAGTGAATTAAAACAGAATAGCAGCTTAATTTGACCTGTGATTTTGCTCTCGTTCCCTTTAGTGGAACGTATGCCACTCCAGCAAATAGATGAAGTCATCCATGACAGCTTGTGATGAATTGCCGTATTTATACTGTATATTTTAATAGCCTCACACTAATTTAAATTGAGCACAGAGTAAATTATAATTCAGTCACTTGACTGCTTGTATTTAACTTGACAACTCATCCTTATTTGTCCTGGAGGTGTAGTGGAGAGCAGAGGAAATATGCTCAGGTATTCCTCTTTTAAAAATTAACCCTTTTCACTTTGAACGTTAGGTATGTTGAGTTCACGTACGTTAGATGCGTGCTAAGCCATTTCAGGATTGCTGTATTTTAGGCAGGAACTTGATGAGAAAGCTGTGCAGGAGTGCTCGGAGCCCTTTGCTGAGGACGGCCGTGTCATTTAAATTAAAAAAAAAAAAAAAAAAAAAAAAAAAAAAATTAAAAAACCACCCCACTTGTTTGGTGTTGTCCCCCGGCTCTACCTGTGAGGCACCGTTTCAACTAGTTTTGAAATGGGGGCAGGCACTGGAGCTCGGCCACCAGCCCCTCTTCCCCAGCCAGCCCAGGCTACTGGTGGCCCCATCTCTGGGGCCATCTCTGGACTGGTCCTGCCCCCCAGCCCCTGCGGCTGGGCTAGCCCTTGGCAGGCACGGGGGGCCGTGGCAACCTGCCCAGCTCCCCTCTGTCTCCGGATTTTGTCATAGCTGCTGAGGCAAACGTGTTCAGAAACTCAGCTCGTGCATGTGCTGAGCCGCCGGGTGATTTGGGTGTCAGTCTCCTGCTCTCGGTAATTCTGGTAAAGTAACAGTGATTTTTTTTTTGCTACAAAGTTCTTTCCAAAGGTGCTGTTTTGGAAAAGTTTATTGCCTAATATTACATCTTGTTCGCTTACCCGTGTTACAGTTGTGGAAGTTGCAACCAAATCCTTATTCACAGCTTCTTCCTTGGTAGCAGTGGGTTTGAGGAGATGGTTTGGTTTGTTTTCTTGTTGCTGTTCCAGCCCTGAAAAGTTCCAGTTCTTAAAAGTTGTTGCACCCATACAAACTTCATTTTCTAAATAGGCTCGGAAATTTTATATGAAAGGAGTATGACCGTGGAGATTAAAAACGCAGATTAAGGCAGTGCTATGTAAATACTTTATTCTTCTTTCTGTCCCGTATTTCAGTGCTCTAAATAACATGAGGTTCCTCCAGCCTGGCCATCAGATGGGTGTCTCTCCTGTAAGTCACACAAGCCCCACGCGTTTAGGTGGAAGAAAACACTCCTTTATGCAGAGACAGTGAGACGGCGGTCTCCTCATTTATTTCGCGGCGATGTGTGCTTACCATACTGTGGCAGTGCATTTCTGTAGGTGCCCTACCCTATAGTATCCTGAACACTTGTAAACATGGTATCTCTGCTTTTCCAGGTTGTCCTCAGTGTTAGAATGCGGGGTCTGCATGTAATTATAGTTAATGCAAATCAGCCAGAGACCTTTCTTCACGCCAGGTCTTGGTTGATTGGATGTCAGTGATGTATTTGACGCCGGTCGTGCTAACTAGTCATTGTTCAGGTCGGTGAAGCCTTCACAGTGAATGAGGCAGGGAAATTCCTCACTGCGAGTAGAATTCAGTGAGATAAAATTTTAATTTTATACCGTTGACAAGATTAAATTCTATTAATATTCAGTGGGTAAAACTGAGGGTATTCCAGCAAATTATTTTAAGTTTTTCACACTGGAAAAATGTAAGTGAATATTGTTGGCAAATGATTATTGATCTAGACAAGTGTGTTAAACGTTTCTTGGCAGCCCTGTATTACACTTACAATTTAGTTTAGTGACAGCTTTTATAAATAACCCTAAAGCAAACTCCTGATAGAAACAGGTTATCGTTTTTTCTTTTAGACAGATTTTGATACTGTAAAGCGCATGTGTTTGGAAACGGTCTCTCTATTTTGTTCCGTCAGCAGTATATGCAGCCTGTAATGCCTGTTCTGCTAATTCTGCAAATTGACTAGATTTTGTTTCCTTTTGGCTTAAAGTATTAAACTGCGAGATATTGTATGGTAGCAAACTGAGCCCGGCTAAGTGCATTTGGGGCCCGTTTTGGTTGAGGTAGGAGTACTCAATTATTGAGTGCGCAAGCCTGCAAGAAATCACGGCAAAGAATTATTTGTTAAAGTTGACTTTCAATACCGGTTCTGCCGCAACCAGCATCCTTATTGAAAGGGTCTGTCTGGAAAATTCTGAAAACTTACAACTCCAGGCAGTGCACCCCAGCTTCCCTGCAGCACTTGGTACTTTAGTCCTGGTTAGCAGCCTGACTGGAAAGGATGGAAAACAAGGGCGTGGGTGGAGGAAGCAGCAGATCAGCGTGAGGGTGAGCGGCTGGTTTGAGCTGCCCAGCGCTCAAAGTCAGGTCGTTTGGGGTTGTTTTGGGGAACGCTTTGGTGATGCTTACCTAAGCATCTGTGCCATCTGCATTTCTTTTTTCCAGTCTGTTTCACAGTTTCCCATGTTTCGTACAGCGTTAGGGATTTATGTAAAAAAGAAAGTGATGGTGGCAAGAGACCCTCCTCTAGGGCACCGCCGAGACATTCAGGGATGCTTTCAACGCTGCAGTACTTATTTAGCCCTTGGAGTGCCCGCGGGGCGAGGCCTGGGGGGGTCACAGCTTTCTCACAGGGCACCTTTGGAGCGCGGGGGATCGGTGCCGGGCAGGTGAGGAGGAGGAGGAGGAGGAGGCAGCTGCACCGAGCCGGAGCTGGGAGGTGATGGCGCTTCGGGTGAATAAGCCGCAAGTCAGAGCTGACCGCCCTGCAGGTCTGCCGTGCCTGCTCTTCACGTTACGTGTGGGGCTTGTGTTCCAGTTCTAGTTCGTCTCTTGGTCAGATGGTTAAACCACAAACCTTACGATGTTTCGTGGATGAAATTGGCTGTGTAACTTAACTTACCGGTAACTGACTTGAAAAAGTGAAGAACTCTGTCCTTTCATTCCCATTTCCTTCCTTCGCGCATCATTCTATTAAAATATTCTTTGCACCTATTCCTCTCTTTTCTTTTCTCACATAAGGATAATTAATACATAGATCTTCAGTTTTTCATTTTGAATGGTTCACTTTTTATGTCAACTGATCATATGCCCCTTTTTTGTGTTTTAGGTCATACCCTTAGATATAACACTGGAACTCCAGAAGCAGATAATGTCAGAGTTAGAAATTCTTTATAAGGTATAGAGATTTTTTCATTTTCATTTTTCTTGCTTATAATCTTCTTGCAGAAAATTTTAAAACAGGCTTCTCTTTTTCCTTTCTTTTTCCAGTGTGATTCATCGTATATCATAGGATTTTATGGTGCTTTTTTTGTAGAAAACCGAATTTCATTGTGTACAGAGTTCATGGATGGTGAGTTGTGTGTCTAGTGTGCTTTTGATTGCTAAGTATGTAAATGGGAAAATCGTGTAAAGATGTGCTTTTCCAGAATGGAGCAAAATGCAGTAGTGTGACTTGAAAATGGAAAGTATTAGTAACTTTGCAGGTCGTTTATTAAAAAAACAGGTTAGTATTGGGATTGTGTTATATTCTCCATGGTGTGCTGTATTTTCCCGAGTGTAACTTCACTTACTTTTATTGAAAATGTAAATAGAAGAGAAATAAATGCTAGCTTAATTTGTGGGTTGATATTTGAGTCTTCCATACAATCTGTCCTCGCTGACAAAACAGCTGTTCCTCACTTTTACTGTTTTGATAGCCAAACCAGATTTTCTTTTAAAGAAATCTATTAACCCAATGTCCTATGTGTTTTCAGTGGAAATCGTCTCTTAATTGCAAGACGAGGAATTATTTTCTAACGCAGCTGTTTAGCAGTGCTGCGCTGAGTTTCTTTTTGAGTGTACTCTTGTTTCTCCCAACGTGAATCTTCAGACCAACAGCATCCCCTTCCCCACAATCTGATGCTACTGTCGTTATGGAGATGTATTAGTACTTTGCTTTGAAATCTTGTGCTGTGTGGCATTCTTGGAGAAAAGGCAGGAAAATACACTGATTACGGCAATTTATAATCATTGCTGCCCTCTGTGTACCAATTCTGAGAGCGTGTCTCATGACAGATGCAGTCCCCTTGTGTTTCGTGCACAAGAACCCTCTTCGCAGCGTTCAGCTTTTAGCATCGCCTGGTTGTTACAAGCAATAGTCTTATTACTCTCTTCAGGATTTTCTTATGAGCCAGCGTTTTGTGCCCTATCCAGGCTTTTCACAAAGGTTCAGTTAAGCTGGGTATAAAGAAGTAAGGGTTTTGCAAATAATTTACTGTGGAGGGAAGGCTTCCTGGCAGGAAAGATTTCCAAAGCCAAACGTGTACCATTAAGCATTGTTGAGTAGCTTCTTTCTTTCTGATGGGGACCACAGATAAAGCCCTTTAGGGTTTTATGGTGCATTTTGTTTTCTCCCTGTTAAAATGGCCTGTTATTACTGTTATTTCTCTCTTTTTACACTTCCTACTTCTGTCCCAGGGATCACTGTGCCCCATTTCCAAGTATGAGTATTCCCTCACTTTTTCCACATCTGATGAAAAAGTATTACATTTATTCAACAAAGCTCACAAGTTAAATTCTTTGCTGTTCTCACGTTGTGTGACCGCTAGCCATTTCTCTGTTCTGTCCGTGCAGTTGGGCTCAGACTTGCAAGCCTGTGTTAAGCAGTAGTCACATGCAGTGAGGAAGCATCTGCTCATGCCAAAACATGCCTCTGCCTAGAGTATGTGTGCTCCTCCTAATTCAGAGATTTTTAAAAATGACGGACATAAATGCTTGCAGTTCTGAATTCTGGTTTGAAAATACTCGAGCCTTTAGGGTATGCATCCCTCATGATGTGGCACAATGATGGTGTTTACTGACCATGCACAAATTACTTGGAATTATACTGGAGATGACCTCTGGTCTGCCTCATGTTGTGCACTCCTTCTGGCAGAAAGCAACAGCAATCATTTAAAGGAAGAACAAAATGCAAATAAAGGGACCTTGCCATTTATTTTTTTTTTCCCAGACCTTTAATTCTGATGCGTAAGGGTGCAGGTGAAGACAAGAAAAAATACTTTCTCATCCTGCAGATGAACAGCTTTAACCTTGGCAGATTTTTAGCCTTTTTAACTGTCTTAAGCCAATTTAAAATATTTCCCGAATCCGTATCCCATGGCTCTCTTTGCCCAGTTGTGTCCTGTACCACATTACAAAACATAGGTATTTCCTTTATGAATTGCCTAGATACAGGTGGATCTGTGTCTTTTGGGATGCTCATGACGTAGGGGTACGCACAGGGAAAAGGTGCACGTTTCATACCGTATGGGTTCTTTCCTGGCACCTGCAAGCAGGGAAAAGCCAAGAAACTCCAAGTCTGCAAATAGCAAAACGCCGACCTTGAACTGACCTGGATCACCCTCCCACCTGCCAGTTGATCTTAAAGATCAACAGAGATGTGAAATGAGGCTTTCTAGTCTTTGTCCTTTTATGTTTACGATAAAGATGATGTTCTTGTGAATAAAGATGGTACAATGTACTATATTGCCTTATGTTGTTGCCTCTTTTCCTTGAAACTGCTGAACACCCACTAAATTCCCCTTATAAGCGGTGAGAGGTGCAGGTTATCATACTGTACCTAGGTGCCTACATGTAGATTTGGGAGCCAACATTCTATATTTGGTTATGTTGTCCACTGTAGATTTTTTTTCTCCTTAGAAAAAATGGCAGTTTTCCCTGATTGTTTGTGAAAAGACACTTTCCTTCATTTTTCAAGCAGTACTACTTTTCGTGACATCTGTAATAGCAAGACTTAGCAGTTTGGTGTACGAAAATAAGTCTATTTTCATCCAGAATTTAGGGATGTTATAAGCATTAACAGGAACCACCTGCCATATGATTGCCTTCTGTTTGGCTTTTGTAACGAGCAGTAGGTATCTGTGATGCTACATCCTCTTATTTCTATTAAATAATGCTTACATTTAGTTTTAAAACCGTGGTTCATTGTAATCCACAGGCAATGTGGACAGTGTAAGTTGAAAGATTAAATGTAATGAACGAGAAGTAGTTTAGTGACCTGGAATCAGAGCAACATTGGTGAAGACAAACACATACTGTATTTCTAACAGTAGAGACGATGGGGAAAATGGGGGGGGAAAAAAAAAACAACAACCACCACCACCATAAAACCCGGATCATTAGAGTAAGAAATATAGTATAAATAAGAACTATTGTGTAATTAAGGCTGAAGACTAGAGTAAGGACCTTGTGACTTCTTTGGATTGCAGCATTTCAGAATGAATGGCTTTTACTTTAAAAAACCAAACCATAAGCAAGGTACAAAGAGTGGTTTTCTTAATTGCTGAGCATTGGCCTAACTCTTTTCCCAGTGGTGTCATGAGTAGAATCCATATGCTACACTGAGAGTAGAGTTAGATCAGTGCCGAGCACTTCTGAGAACCTCAAGCCTTGAATAAGACAACAGGCTCTTGCAAGCTAAGTGTAATATGTTCTACCTCTAATTTGCCTGTCCATTTTTTTTTTTTTTTTTCAATTCTACTTCAATATTTTTAATTCTCCACTTTAAATTTACGTTCTTGCCCAAGAATTTGTATTTTACCCCAGGGACATTTTAAACACTGGATTGATCATGAATCTCTTATGTGGAAGATAAGGGAAACAATCCTTCCCAGTCCCCTGGGGACTAGGGAGATTTAGGTTTCTCTCTTTCCCCATGAATGTTTGATGCTGGCTGGACAGGGTTATGCCAGACAGTAAGTTTTGTCCCATACTGGAGCTTACTGGCAAAATGTACCTGCTTGCCCAGGAGCTCCTTGTCTTTCATTTTCAGACATCAGTGTGGACACAGACTGCAAGGCTCAGCCAAACTTTCCCTGGTCTTGACCTTCAGGAGGAAACAGCTTTAAGCATGTATCCAAGCTCCGTATCAGATAGCACGTACTGTTAGCACCAGGGCTGGGCACGAGGGGTAGGATGCTTTGGACTTTGAAGTCCACCGTTGCTTTTTGGAATGACTTTCTTATTCCCGAGAAGCTACACCAAGCCTGGTGGGTTTGAGTTCTCCAAATTCAATATTCTGTCCTGTGACTTGGGAGGTTTTTCTAAAAGGGGTTTTAATATTAATGCTGCAAGCAAAAATAAGTAATGTGAGTGAAAAGAAACCTGAGTACTGCTTCGTGTGTTTATTCGGAGTTGGGTAGATTTTTAAGGTCAGTTATTTCTGACACAGTTATTGTTATATCATTGATGGTGTTTTTATTAATAACCAAGGCCTAGAAAACCCCTGTGACTTGAAATCTAGGGCAGTATTTCATTTTGTATTACCTAACCACCTTTGTTTGTCTCTGCAGGGGGCTCTTTGGATGTTTATAGAAAAATTCCAGAACATGTACTCGGAAGAATAGCAGTAGCTGTAAGTACTTTTTTCTTTTCACCTTTCAGTTTTTGATTGTGCATGTAACACATCCCTGATTTGAGTGTGCACGCGGCCTTTTGGGACACCGAGTCATCTCCAGGATCCGTGTCCTCATTGTGTCTGTGTAAAAGGGAGGGTCCTTCCTACCTGGTGCTTATCCTGTGTGCCCAAGGACACTGGGGTCAAGGAAGCCTTCCTTTTGAATGACAACACACGAGTTGCCAGAGGCTCAAGAAATGTGATAAATTGAATAGGATAGGGAAGAAAAAAAAAAAAAAATCATGAATTTGCTGGAGAACTGTGTGGTCCTGTTTCCTCATATGCACCCTTGTAGGATGGAGCAGTTCTCTTCAGCACCTTTATTTAGCCTTTAAGTCCTTCTGTGCTATATCATTCCCTTAAGAAGTGATTCAGAAGCCCCCTCTCAGTCCTTATGGTGTTCCCTCATCTGCAGCTTCTGCTGATTCTCCTGTGTAATTTCCCTTCTAACTGTCCTCGTTCTGTACAAAGTAACTCAATTAGATTTGCTTCCCAGGTTGAAAAATTAAGTCAGTTCCTGTTATCAAAACGCGATGGCAGAATGCATTTTCTGTCGTCCCCCGTGGCAGATGTACTCCTTAAGGCAGATAAGGAGGAGGCTGAAGCTTTTATTTGGCACAAGCCAGGCCTGACAGAGGCTGCCCGGGGACAGGCTGCTCGCTCCCCCCTGTGCTGGGACCCTTCCCACGCGAGCGGTCACGGTTGAAGAGCTAATAGTCGTTGTAGGGGTGACGAGCAGGGAGACGGGCTGTGATTTAGGGAGAACTGTCTGTCCCCAGTGGCTACTGGGTTTGGTGGCAAGGTGGGATCCTTAGAGCACCTCGTAGCCCATCGTTGTGCCCTAGCAACATCTGGTGACTGTGTTTCTAGAAAATCACTAGCTGTGATCGAAAACTCAAATTACAGAACACTAACAACAACAACAACAACAAAAAAAAGTCTCATATTTTCCCATCGTTGAACACAGGGTAAATGACCAGTGTCTTAGTGGATCTCTCAAGGGAGAGAGATACTGCTAAACAATTGCTAAATATAAGGAATACTTTGATAACTTAAGCAGTTTAAAGCATAACAAAGTTATTCTATCATGTGCCATTTAATTAAGTGCTGGGTTTTCACATTCATTATACATCAAGCTGACAATTTAAATCCTTTAATCCAACACAGGCAGCTATTTAGTCTCTGTTCATTGTAATTCACAGCTCTACTTTCTCTTAATTTGTGTGGCCTGCCCAGGGTGATGAACATCCTTCTCTGATGCTGTTTCCTCTAAGTCGCTTCAAATCTGCTCATTATATAGCCTAGCAGTTTCTTATGGAATTTGAATGCTTTTCACCTTTAGTTCAGCGTAAAAACGTTTCATCTCTTCTTCCCTATGGAGCAATGAATGATAAGTTGCTCACGGTGTCCTTATATTCCTGATGCTAAGTAGCATGTGTGTGGTGTAATAATACTGAGGTGAGCCTTCAAGCATTTCTTCAGATGCTTATTCCTTCTCCTTTTCCTTATCTCACTTCATCTTGTGTACTTAATGCATCCGCACTAACTTACCTTAGCATTTCCTTACTTGCTTTTGTCTCTGCTCTTCCCCCATCCTCCCCAGCCCACTTGGCTTGTCTGTTCTGCAGATATTCTTTTCCAATTTTTCATTTGTCCATAATGGTGGTGCTTCAGCCCCATCTTTTATGTTTTGATATCTATATTTTTTTGTTCACCTGCGGGGTCATCTCTTTACAAATCTGTTAGTTAGTGAGCATGACTCCCTGACATGGACGGCGAGCTGATACTTAACTTTTTCCAGTTCTTTTATTTGCTGCTTTAGCAACCTGTACCGTGCCCACTGCAGTGCAGGGGGTCAGTAAAGAGGTGAACAAAGGAGCGGGGGCCTTCAGAGAAGGAGCTCGCCCCTTTCTCCTGCTTCTCCGTAACAGAAGGTGTGCACTGAGGCTGAACCAGCACTGGCAGCTTCCTCTGCTCTGGTGCTGATTTTTTTGCTCAGTTGGCATGGAAGACGCGTTGGAAGGAGGCAGCGACAGCCTTTGTTTTCTCTAGAATTTATCAGTGGCAGCAGCAATGGCTCTTTTAAGTCTTCTCAAACGGCTACCCTGCGTCTTGGTGTCTGATGTTTCGGTAGAGCCCAGCAGCCCGTTTTGTGGGTTGGGGCACCTTTTTGCCAAGTATTCTACATAGACACCATAATCCCCACCCCGAGCAGCTTGGGAAGATTACCCGAAGCCCGGAGGATTTCTGTTCATGTACTGATGAGAATGTCAAACAAAAGCTGGAGCTCGCACGGATGGATTCTGTAGACGAAATCTGGAGCTTCTGTAAGCTTCTGTAGTTTTTTGGTTTTTTTGTTTTTTTGTTTTTTTTTTTCCAGGCTGTATGTTTTCATTCTACCTTCCTTGCACCATGTACGCAGAGTCATTTGTCTTTTATTCTCCGGAGACATGTACAATGCATTAGTCTATTGAAGCTGCTTAATAGTATGTGTGACCTGCACATCTGTTAATTAGAATACCCTTTTGTTACATTTGTAGAAGTTTTTAAGTGAAACCAGTTCCAGAGGAAAATGATGCAGGCATGTATAGATATTTAGCAGCATCCCAGCATTCCTCTCGCTCCGACTTGGTGATTTTCTTGCTTCCTTTCTTTTCCTGCATTTAATCTTTGTAAGAAGCTCTGGCCTGACAGCCCTTAAAAATGATTGACCTACTCACAGCAATGAGCACGAATCAGACTTCCTTGTGATTTGGCAGGAACCAGAGAAGAGTTGTGTCTGCTGAGACAGTCAAACATTTTCTGATGATAGCAACTTTCTTCTGATGTGAACCTTTGCCTGCTGAGAAATAGTCTGGATATCAGAGCCATGTAGCACATAGGTAGTCTGCACACCATAATGTTCTTTTGCATTCTTGTTACTCACTTCCCAGTGAAGAAGTGATCACCGTTAATTGTGATGGACAATCAGCTCTCAAGCTGAAATAGCAGGAATGTGTTGCTGAGTGTGGTGCTCTTGTCTCTTGGTTATTATTTTGAGGAATGAAGAGTTGCAGGGTTGGTTTGAGGCTGAAAGACGGAATGCTGAAAATCAGGACAGTGAAAAGAAATCCCTAAAGGAGGAAAGCATTTGCCAGGGCTCGGGGAGAAGCATGGAGTTTTCAGGAGCAGGAAAAAGTGGTAGGAGAGAGGTAGAGTCTGCCGAGTCTTGGGTCCCCAAGAAGTTGGAGGGATCTCTGACTTCATCATAGAATTCATCCTGGTTGCCTAGATGACACAGTGTCAGCGAGAAGGGGGAATCTCCCATCTTCCTTGCGCTCCTTCTTTGTGCGAAGGGCTGGTGTGTTTTTCCAAAGAAAAAGTGTATCTTGGGAACCCCAAAGTGATGTTGTGGTTGCTCGTGTGTTCATACTGATGTGTACTTATTTGGGTCTGCCGATGTAAAATCTGTTCTACCTTTGCTTGCCACTTCACACATTTATTTTCACTTCAATTTCTGAAGCAGTGACATTGTGCACTGTATTTTGAGTGCTAATGTTGATTGAAGTTCTCCCTGAAAGGATGTGCACTTGAACTGTCAAGAGAGTGAATGATTGACAGCAGGTAGAAATACTTTTTGTGTCAAGGCTTTTTCAAGTCATTGTTGTAAAAACCTACTTCACTGAATACCAATAATTCCTGCTAGATGTTCAGTCGAAAGGTACTGTCTCCCAACACCGTTTTAGAATAATATTTAATACTTGAGAGCCCTTCCAGAATAGGCAAATGTAAGGTAGGGGAGTAATGGTACTTTTCACTAGGTTAGTCCATCTGGGGGGCTCCTGTGTGCATATTTGCAGCCCAGGATAAAGGGAAAAACTCTTTTCATTCCTTTGCACTCTGATGTCGAGAGAATCTGAATGTGAGAGTTTGTTTAATACCGTGTCTTTTAAAACTGCTTATTCAGCACGTAGTCAATAAGAAAGATGTTTAATAACTCACAGCTGTTGATTCTTTTTCTGTGGGAAGTGTTTCCTTTTTTTCTATGAATACATGCTTTAAAATAGATTAAACAATTTTATAATGGTTTTAAAGATTTTAAGTAGTCTAAATATATGTTTAACAATCAAAGCAGTTTACTATTCTCACAATCTCTTTCTCCATTGGATGAAGCCTGAAATGTTGCAAACCCTTTATTTATTTTTGCATCAATACCTTTTTTTTCTTTTTTTTTTTTTTCCCCTCCTTATGTCAAAATGCTGTATAAGTAGAATTCCCCAGTTTTGCTTTTTGAAAGGCTGATATGAACAAGGCCACACTGCTGGGCATGCAGAGTTTGACTAAGGCCTTTTGTTACAGGTAATTACCATCTGAGGCCATGAGATAGTTGAGTATGGAGTGCGAGTTTAACACTGTGGAATTGCCACCTAGAGCAATTTACTGGGGATCTGGAATCATTATTTGCTTTACAAAAGAGATTCAGATTCCACTGACATTGTGTTTGGTTACAGAATAGATTTTAAAAAGAGTTTCTAATCCAGTAGGAAGGCTGAACGTAACTATGCTATCTGCTTTCACACTGTATAATATTTTTAGCACTTCTGCTTGATCACTGTAACAGAAGTAATTTCATTTCAGTCTACTTGGACAATGAAACAAATGTAATTATTTTGTCTGAAAAATTCATACAACTTTACAAATGTTGGAAATGCTTTCTCGTTCTGGAGACGCGCCAAGAGAGTGTCTCAAGAAAATGAATGAAATGTCATCTCGTAGATAGAAACTTTATAAAAAAGATTTGCTCTATTAAAAAAAGCTGGCTGCGGCAGCAGGGGTGGTTTGGGTAAAAAGTAAGCAATAGCAGAAATACATTTGTTGAATCTTGTTAATTCTCTCAGCTTGTAAAAGTAGGAAATCAAGGGGAAGAATTACAATGTTAAAAATTCAGGAAGTACTGAGGGTTAATTAGGTGACAGAAACAAAACCTGCAGAGAGGATAGCTTGTAACATCCAGCTGCTCTCTTAGGGAGTTGACCCAACCTCTTGTTTAATTTGGGGCCACTATAACCGTATTGTATATAGAAAATAGAAAGAGTGGCAGTTGGTCCCAGTGATGATCTTGTTGGTTCTGAAAGAGCCGTATGTAAGTGTTCTGTGTAAGGAAGTGTCGGTTGTTTTGGGAAATACACCTGCATTCATACAACAAATGCCTGTCCTCCAATTTTTCATTAAAATGCATCTCATACAGAAGGCACTCCAGTGTACTACTGGAGTTAACGGGTTTCTGAGTTTGGTTTTAACAGTTTAGGTAGTGGAAGGAGTGAATCCTGGAATAGCAGGACAAAGTCTGCCCCATTTCTTATCTTCTAGGGTTCCCAATAGTACTTTCTGGGGCTATGGGATACAGTAAGCTTTTTGTTTGGTCCAGGATGAATAATACGAAGAATGAGACAATTTATACTGTTCAAGAAGAAATGTTCACCCTTTGCATTGAGTAAGTAAAAGCATGGGAAGTAAAGGAGGAAAAAGTACAGATGCGTACAGATGCACCAGATCAAAAGGAAGGGAAAGGGAGGATGACGTGGAAGAGGCTATTAGAGATTTTGTTATTTTCTGGTCTTTAGTTTCACTGGGTTGTTTTTGTTGCAAGAAGACAAATCATTACGCACTTTGTCTTTCGTGATTTTTAACACCTCAGCAAAGATAGATGAATTAAAAATACGTCGAAATGCCTAAAGGGATTCAGTATAAGCCCAACTAACTTCAATTTACAGCTCCTGGAAGAAGCTTACTTGTGTATTCTTACAGAACCTGTTGCTCTGTAGCCCACAGCAGGTTTGCAGCAGGGGTTTGTCTGCATCCTGCAACCCTTTGGAAGGGATGCTTGGTTTCCCCTTTTCGTGGTCCTGGCTCCGTTCTCCGTTGGAGCTCATGTCTTTAACAATTCGCGCCATCTGAGATGTGTAGTGTTTCTTCCCAGGAATTTTTAATGTGTGTTGTTACTTTTTCAGGTTGTGAAAGGCCTTACCTATTTATGGAGTCTAAAGATTTTACACAGAGGTAAGTAACAGATGTTTTTTGTTTTCCAATGAAATAGCGTTTTGTTTTATTTTAACAACACTTTCCACTGAGACAGTAGACCATACTAACATCTGGTTTGATTCCAGTGGAGTAATGCAGAATGAATCTTACTCATTAGCCTTGCAGATTTTCTGATAAAATATTTTTACTGCTGTTCCCTTTTATTGCCCTCCCTCCTACCCTACAAAGAAAAAGACTAAAGAGAGAAATTAATTTTACAGAGATTTATATGCTTAGGGTTACAAACAGGTGCCCAGTGGAAAAATCAGCAAGGAAAATCAGATGTTTGACTAGTATTGAAAACAGAAGATAGTGAATTTTCTTACGTACTTCAGAAATCTCATGTGACAGCCACAAGCGTTGCTAGAGTCTAATCTCTAAAATTGTGGCCTGCTGTCTTCTAACGCGGTCATAAATAATTAAAGAAACTTTAAAACCTGCTTGGACATAAGCCATTTTGGGGTTTTGGTGTTTATTCTCCTTCCTGAAGCTAATCTGTATTTCTTTCAACTTCTTATTTATTTCTTGCTTTTTAATGTTGTTACATTTTGTTAAAAATATATCTATCGTGGTAAGTTAATTCAGATACACTACAACTTTCAAAAACAATGTCAGTTCTGAAAACAGTAGAAAATCCTGTTTAAAGAACAAAGAAGCCCTTCCCCCCTACCCCATTACCACCGCCCCAGGAAAAAAAAAAAAAAAAAAAATAGAGAAGAGAAACTCATTACATTTATAATGTTTCTAAAGTGTCTGAAAGTAACTGCTCTGGTTCCTAATGTTGCTAACAATACTGTTTAATTTAACCCATCTGCTCACTCAGCCCATGTGCACAGTTGGAGTGTGCAGTAACCGACATCGTTTGTGATTGAAAGAGGAGCGTAAATTAGACAGACACGTAGAAAATGTCGAGTGGCAAACCAAATAGGTAAGGCCCTTTCTTCTGAGGTGGCTGGGGAGTAGGTGCGAGGCTCTGGCAAGGCGAGGAGCGGTGCCAGGCTGGGCCCCCGGCGTCCCGGTGCGACCGGGACGAGGAGTTGGCCAGAAATCTGTGCGCTGAGTGGGGAGAACGAGCTAATAGGAAACGCCGATTGCCAGCGTGTACTGAGGTCCTGCCCCTCCGTGGAGCCGAGGCTCTGGCTGTCCTTGGGCTTTTGCGGGGAGTTTGTTTGAGGTGGAGGAGGGGGTTGGATCCTGCCTTTGTGTAACGGCTCAGCGAGCTGCTGTGCAACAGGACATCGGGCTTCGGTTCCTCCTCGGTCTCGCTGCGTCTCCTTCCTGGGAGATCGCTCCGACGTGGGAGCAGAGGGTCTCGCCTGGCTGGGAGAAAGAGGGCTGTGGCCAGAAGAGTGAGTAGAGATCAAGTTAAGGACCTTTGTTACCCCAGACGCTAAGGCTGCTGGTGTACTTGACCTTGGGCTCTCGCTGGATTAAAAGAACAGAAATGACCCAGAGGCCCTGACCGACTCGGTGCAGGCGCAGGTTGCCAGGGAGGCTTAATTTCTGATGGTGGTTTGAACGTTTCACCTACTGGCCTGAATGTTGCCAGATACAGAGACTTATCAGCCACGTCCACTCACAGCAAGAGGATGAACAGTCTAGATGCCAGAGCTGCCGTGGCAACTGTCAGAATAAATATAAAAGAAAAGGTAGCTGGGACACCCGTGTCCGTGTATTGCTCTGAATAGGCTACGCAGTCTTTGCCGTGCTTTTAAAGCACCCAAAAAGAAAAAAGCAGATTTGAATTTTTTTTTTTTTCGTTTTTAATTTTTTTATTAAAGATTCTGGCCACCTACTGAATGTGGTTTGGAGAGCGCATTGTGGTCAGGCATAAATACTATAACCAACATTTTGTTCTTGTGCCGCTGTAAATTTAAAACCGGGGTCTGATTTTCGCTTTGCCTGTAAAACACAATCTCCCCTTCTGCATGGCTTGCATTGCCTTGACTGAAGAGCAGCTCCGAGTTTTTGATGAATTATGTATGGCCCTTGCTATGGTCTAAAGAAAAGCGCAGAAACTGATTTTTCATCACACATCAGATTTTTCTGGCCTTGGTCTGTTACTGGATTGACCAAGGTGAGAACAGCACTGCAAAATGCCCCATGGAGGGGAGAACCAGCATTCCAGCATCCAGCAGAGTTTCCTCAACGGATCGGTTTTCAATGTTACTCTGCACCCATTTTTAAGATAGAGACCATGCGTGTGTACTTAAAAATGGGTACAGAGTAATACAAGGCAAGGCAGATGCCTGTTTCTCAAAGGAATCTCCTTCGGCTGTCTCCTGGTTTCAAATGCATCAGAGATAAACAAAAGAAGATTTAACCCTGACTTCCTTGCTGTCACATGTAAAGCGGACCATGCAGGAAGCTCGCGTAGGCTGAGAAGTCAAGAATTTTCACCGCGGTGATAACGAAGGTGGAGAAGCAATCACCGTGAAGACGCTGTGTAAGGCAGCGCAGCGAGCGACGGTTTGTGACTGGAGCGTGGATTAAAGCAAAGGAAACAAACAATGAGCAAGTCTTTTATTCCAGATCAGACATTGCAGCAAATATTACAGCTTAACTTCAAAACAAACCTTGCAACTAATGAGGTGATAGCCGTGCATATTAATAAACCCAAAGCTGTAGTCATAGTCATCACACCCACATCAAACATAAACATAAGATTAACACCTACACCACTTCTTTGGAAGATGTGAGAATGTCCCAATGATAAGTGTGCTCTTTTCCCCAGAGGATAAGCAGAAGAAATGGAAGGGTAATGAGAAATTAACTTAGATTTAAAACAGAATTAGCAATTAAACAAGTCTAATCGTGTACAAAGTCAAAGTTTGTATAAAGACAAACCAAAATCTGTTAAGTTCAAGAATAAGTATAGACCGTATGCATTTTATCTGGTATGTTTTCCTCTGTTCACACCTCCTTATTAAAAGAAATGTATGAAATAAATGTTACCCGCTTGTGTTTAATTGTACTGATCTGTACTTGCATGCGTGACTGTAGGTATACTGGGGACCAGTATATATCGCACGGTTTGGGCACCTTGCTTTCTGACTGGGTTTTAAATTTGTGTCAGAGTTTTGGAAGTGTTTTGTGGTTTATGGTGTGCGAGGTTGAGCAGAGTTGATGATCTGGAGACCTTCCTGGACCGTCTGCTGGCTGCCTGTGGCAGAAGGAAGGTTTGTGCATCACTCGGACCATCTCTTTTTTTGCCCCAGGGTATTTCCATAGGATATTCAGATCTTCTCTGCTTTGACGTAAGCTGCTGGAGCAGAGGGGTGCTGGTTGGTAGGGGCAGGCGCCGGTGCAGCGAGTGTTCCCATCTTCTCAGCTGTAACTGTAGTTTGCTGAGGATTTCACCAGAGATGTCCAGAGCAGCGTACTTGACTTTTCCCCCTCCTCTTTTTAGCTGTGTGAGAAATAATCGGTGTTAGTGCCACATATAATGAGGCACAAACAAGAATACTAGGGCATGGGTATGTATACGTATACATGCATATATATATGTATAGCTAAACACATAGATGCACACTCTTGGACCACTTAGGCTTGTTTAAAAAAAAAAAAATAATAATCCTGACCTCTGCAAAAAGCATGCTGATGAGGTCATTATGGCAAGGAAATATTTTCATTCTTCCAGCCGCTTCACTTTAGCAGTAATGTTCTGCGAGCTGTCTGCAGCTAAAACTGTGCTTTTGTATCTTGTCTCCCTTGAACCTGGCGTACTGCCGTTATATATTTTTAAAAGACAGAGGAAGTCAAGAGACAGCTTTTAAAAATCTGGGGTGTTTTTTTTTCCCCCGCAATCATTAATCTGTTTGCTTTTCAATAAAACAAGATGACTGAATTGTTTGGTGTTCAAAATGCTGAACCTCTGACGGTTCTGTTTACTGGTAAGTAAGAGCTTGGAGGTCCCATTTATTTGCAGAGAGGTGAAACGACTTAGGCAGATATATCATAAAGAGGACTTGTTCATCCTCTATAATGATGCTTCATAGAAATCATTTGTATTAAGCAAGCACTGGTAATGGGAGCATAATGACCCCTTTTGGCTCTTGTTTAAATTCTTTCACTTCTAAACAGTAATATTAATCACAAGCAGATGGTGCAGAACATTATTTATGCACATTTGTTTTCCAAAACCAAAAAATGTTTAACCCATTAACTGAAGCGGTTTATGAAACCAAAAGGCTAATTTACTGATTGGGTGATTTTTCTCCCCACTTTCAATATGAGATATTTTGTGAAGTGACATTTTTGTCGAGGGTTGTCACTTCCTTTTCTTCTTGAGAAAACCAGTGCAACCATTGGAATTCATAGCAAATATTTGCCTAAACCCCCCATTTGCAGTGCTATTTAAATTCTGCTGCAAGGACAGATTGTTTACAGATAGTATTTGTTCTTAGCAGTGCTTGTTTGGCTGCAGCTCACTCAGTAGAGTCCCCAACCTGCATAGGCTTCCCTTCCCTTAAGGGCTCATCACTGATGGCTTCTTTCCTTTTAGGATTTTTTTTTTTTTTTCTTTTTAGTTCTGTTTGTGGAAAGATTTCGGGATCAAGCAAGGCTTAATGAATGACAGGTGGTTTTTTAATTATATCGACTTACTGTCACATCCCAGGTGGTAGCGGGGAAGGGGAGTGGGATCTGCAGATCCCCAGGGACACAGGGTGGTGGCTGGCTAGAGCCAAGGCACAAATGGGACGTGGTTTCCTCTGGTGGGTCGTGTTAAGGGACCGGGGACTTGCGGGCCATGCTTGGAGACCACCCTGCTTCTTCCTCCGAGACATGTACGTGGTTGAGTCCTTACAGAAAGAAAATTTGGCTACGCACGTGTTGCCCCACCTTCCTTACAGATGCCCCTTCGCTCACCATGAAAGGATTTTTGCTTTCTTAAAAAGCAATGCTGTTGATCCTATCATGATCCCCCAAACCTATTTCCAGCCATACTGCACCAAAATGTTTCTCTTCTCCCTTTGATTATTAATTATTTTTGTTACATCCTTTACAGTTAAAAGCAAGAGCTGCTTCTTATACTGTCTTTTAAAGGTGTTAGCACTGTCAGCTGCTGGATTCGTGGTACAGAACTCAGTATATTTTCTGTATGTGTAATTGCATCTGCTGTTTAGTTCATTACAGTTCAGCGCAAACCTAGTAACGAGGTGGCTCGTTATATTTTTAGAAAGAAGGTTAAACGGGATTACTGTGCAACTTGCTGGTCTTCAAGGGATTCAGGGTAGAGCCTGCTGATGTGCTCGGCGTGTCTTGTTAGATTTAGCAAAGTCACCCGACACCAGAGAGGAGCGTGCTGCTTAGCAGGTTGCCGTAAGCCAGCACTCGAGTCTCCGTGAAGTTTTAGTTAGAAAACAGATTCCTAAAATGTCGTGGGGAAGTCGTATGGGAGATTTCGCGACTGCGTGGGTTGCTCTGTTTTATCTCATCCCCTGAGGCGGGGGAATAGGTAAAAGTCGGTCGGAAATGCAGCACGCGGATTGAGTTCTGAAAGAAGAAATGGAGATCGGGCTACGCAAACTGAGTCTGTCGATGCTGTAACATGATGGAGACACTCGTGGCTGATTTTTCTTTTGGCTTTGGGGGGAAATTGCAGAACAGACCAGCAGTATTGATGCCTGGCTTTAAATGTGCAGATCCACTTAAGCTATATAACGTACTATTGAATGCTCCCCTTTTTTAAACTGGATTTTTAGTTCAAATATAGGAAAGCATTTAATCAGCTTGTTAATTGAGGTTATACATTTCTACATTACAGAGACAAATTAAGCAAGCTACTGTGGTACCAGAAAACATCTGCTAAACAAAGGCAAACTTAATGATAAACAAAATTAGGTTCTTTTCTAGTTGGGTTTCATCCATCTGCACCCAAGTAGTGTTCACTTTTAAAGAAGGCAGAGATACAAGCTATTGCTTTTAATCCGTTTTGACAGAAGAAAGCAGTGATTAGGCAAAGCCACTGTGCTCTAATCTTCCCAAGTTTAAGCCAGGCCATAACGCGCGCATTATGCTTTCCGACTGGCGTCCCTGGAACAGAAAAGCTGCTCAGTGTTTCCTGCTCTACAGTCAGGCTGGATGTTCAGCAGTTTATTCACCCGTCGATTTTTACAGTACGCAGCAGAGGCGTCCCAACTTCTTTTGACATCAGAGGGGGTCAGCATTAAGATCTTTGCACTGACAGTCTGGCTTTACGATAGCCACTGATGTTTTATTTGCTGGAGCAGGATCAGTGATCATTTTAAGATGCTGCTGGTAATTAACCTTCGTAAAAGCTGTGAGATCGGGAGTGGTTTCGTGCGGTAGAAGCCACGGAGGTGGAAGCCTGTAGCTTTGAATAATGGCGTGCACAAGAGCAAAGCTGTTCTGTGTATGTTCCTGGGGCAAAAGGAGGCTCGAACGTGCTTGTTTGTTTGTGTTTTGCCTGTGTTCCCATATGCAGGTATTTGTATGGGGCATTTTCTATTTGTAATTTTTATGGAATATTAAATTCTGCGCTTATCACTCCTTGGAATTAAGTGAGGGCTGTTACTGGGGAGGGAGGCAGGGTTCATTGCAGCGCGTGAGTACAAAGTTGCAGGGTTGGGATGGGCGTTGAAAGGCCAGCCCGGCTATCCCTTCGTACTAAAACAGGCTTCGCCGTTTGCACCGTTGCTTTTGGCTTGTTCCTGAATTGTCCAGTGACAGAGTTGGTTCCCTCTCTGGCATTTCTACATCATGCCGTAAGCTGCAGATCCTTTTTTTGCAGACCTGCTCCAGCCTACACTCCAGGCAGTTGTTTAATCCTATATTTATGTGGTTGATGGATCCCTATCTAAATGTAGTGCTCCCACTTGTCCCTGTTGAATTCCATCTTCTTTTTTCAGTCTGATTTTCCAGTTTGTCAAGATGACTTTGAATTCTAGGTCCTATCCTTCAGTGCACTTGCTGCCCCTCCCAGATTGGTGTCACCTGCAGATTTAATAACGTGGTTTATTAATATTTGAGAGATACCGGTATAATGCCATCTGTGTTCCTGAGTGTTACAAACCAGAGGTTGCTTTTGACATTATCTTTGAAATATTTCCTATTAAGATCCATCGTGCCAATATTCATAACGATCTCTGTAGATACGACGCGGAGCTAGGATAATATAGATTAAATCCTGTTTTGTTCCCTCAACAGATGTGAAGCCGTCGAATATGTTGGTGAACACGCGAGGCCAGGTGAAGCTGTGTGACTTTGGGGTTAGCACTCAGGTAATTCCCCCTTTAAATATCTGCCCGCTCTCTTTCTAATGTCAAAATCACCTGGCTGCCAGACAAACAGCCCCACTGCAAGCTCCCCTCTGCTGGGACAGCCCTATTCATTTTTAATCTCTGGGCGACTTTTCTTCATCTGAATATGATTGTTCATTGTTTAATGACAGTAAAAACTGCTGATATTGTAATTACTACTTACGAATAGCAAACTTCATTGATATGCAGCTTTGATATGAAAGCGTTTTGGCCAGACAAAAGGGAGGGCAGAACGAGAGACGTGTCTGGGGAGCCCAACTGGCCCACAATAAAAATTAATATTGGGAGTAACAATAGTGGTGGGCTTTTACAATGTGCAGCACAAATTTTAATTAATTTCCATTTTGGGCCTCCCTGGAGAACTTCTCTGATAGTGACCCATGAGCTTGCTGTGATGTTGATTTGAATTTCAGCACCTTTACTCTCAGCCAAACATGAGGACCAAAGAGAAGGTCAGCCTTGTATTATAAGTTGTCAGAGTCTGTTGTCCCTCCAGCGTATTTAGTGCTCATTGCATTCAAGTGATGAATGTGGCTTTATTCACATCTTGAGCCAGCTGACTGAAAAATGAGTGCGTTCAATCCTACTTCAAATTGACTTTTTATATCAGACTAGTTTGGGGTACTAAAGCGATAAGCATCCTGTTTAACAGAATTGTTTAAGGTTATCTGCCATAAACTGTAATGCAGTGCTTGTTTAAATTGGAACTCTCATTCCGAACAAAAGAGAGATTTAATCATTTTTAATGCCTTTGCAGATAAATTTGTTCCCTTTTACATAATTTTTAGTTGATTTATAGGAATGATGATTGTAGGTTAAATGAGGAATAATTGCCCATTTTATTTCCACATTATCTTTATATTGTTCTAACAGACTGTTTTGTCTGATAGCTGGTGAATTCTATAGCCAAGACGTATGTTGGAACAAATGCTTATATGGCGGTAAGTGGATTTATGCAGGAATAACATTTAAATAGAAGTATTTGTGCGCAGTCTTGTTCTGTGTAACGCAGGATATATTCTAAATCAGTTCTCAAACTTCATCTCTCCCTACCCCCGGTATAAGTTAGATCTTATTTGTGTGTGCCACGAAACTGCTCCTTTTTCTGTCTCGCAGACCCTCTCCCTTCCTGTCTGTGCTCTGTGACGACTGCACTCCTCGCTGATAGGGAAGAGTAATACTGGAAAAATGTTCCTTTCATGTATTTTCAGTTGCCTTTACTGCATTGTAACAGCTGGGAACAAGGAAAAGAGCCAGTTCAACACTAAAACATCCCCCCCCCCGCCCAGTTTGTCACTGGTTGCCTGCGGCTCTCTGCAGACCGGTGGCGGTCCGATGCTGCCCGCCACCCAGCAAAGCGCTTAAACCTGTGCGGGGTGTCCTGGTGCCCGCACCCCGGCGTGGGCGCTTCCCCTGGGAACCTGCCAGGGAAAAGTGAAGCGCAGAGATTTGGTCTGAGGATTTTAGGGCGTTAAGTTGCGTGTCGGGTAACGCTCACCCCATGCGTACCAAGCCATCAGCGCGCTTGTTGCGATGAGACTTCTGTCCGGTTTCTGCACGTTGGAGCATAAACCCCCATCATTTTTAGCTCAAAGTAACACGCTGCTGAAGGTGCATCGTTTGGAGGAACGCTGCTGCTGTTTGCTGGGATGTGAGGTTTGAGTTCAGCAGTTCTAGCTGCCCTGACAACTGGCGTGTGGTGTTCACGTCACTGAGATTAATACGGTGGCAAGAGCCAGTCTGAAAGTAAACTGCAAAAGCCAGCGTGCGTTTTCCATCAGATCAATTTGAATAATTTTAGTTCTCCATTTAGCAGACGTGAAAACTTAAATGCTTCAGTTTAGAGCGGTATATTAACAGTTGTCTTTCATTTTTGGCCATTAAAATTCTTTCAGCAAACTACTTACGTCATAATATTGAGCGGAAAAAATAAGTGTTCAGCTTGCTTAAAAAAGATAAGTGTAAACAATACACAGTAGTTGATACTTGTATTTTTCAAACCTCAGGAAAGAGGAGAGAGAAATCCATGACCTTTACTTGCTTTCAGGTATTTTTTCTTACTTTCTTGTAAGAAAAAAGCAGACCAGGGTGTCCATTTATTTGCTAAGTGCTTTCTAGTCAAGGTGTAATCATTATGTGGCTTCTGAAACACTTGTGTCACCATCCTAGAAAGACTTGGGCTGTCCTGTGTCATCAGAATATTATGTGCAGAAAAAATGTTGTTTTTTTTTAAGAAAGAGAGAGAAAAAAATCTGGTCTTACGTATTACACTTTTACTAGTAAGCTTGCTGATTTGTATGCCTCCATTTTCTAAAAGAACCGGCATATAGCAATTCAGACAAATAAACAGCTTCAAATTAATCAACTTTTCCAATTCAGCTGTTAGAGTGGTCTTAAGCAGGTCTGAGAATTAAATTGTATTACACTTTTATTGTAGAAATCAGGATTACTGTTCTCTTTCCCAGGTGTACATTAAATAAATTACTTTTTTTTTTTCTTACTGTTTATGGATGAATGTGATGCATTCATCTGCTAATTGAAAAAGAGAAGTTTAAGCTAAAATGTACTTGATCGGATTTCTTGTGTTAAAATTGTTTTGCTTGCTGAATGAGTCATTTGTCGTCATCAAATTTATAGTCTAGTCATCAAAAAATAATGAAGGCCATAAGCTTTGGTTTGTCTGCCTACTTGGCATACTGTGAGTGAATTTGAAACCATTTAAAAATTGAAGTTTCTGTTTAAAATAAACAAGCAAAAAAGCTTTTTGATTGAAAAATTTCCAGCAAAAGATATATTTTCTGTAGAATTATTTTATCACCACTTTATACAGAAAAAAATTTTGGATAGAAAAGGTAACCGGTTGTAGAAATTTGTAAGAGGAAATATTTTTGAGCTGCATATCCTTAAGATGATCTCTGTGTTGCACACTTTATGCATGTGTTATTCTTGTTTTCATCATCTTTTCCATACTCTTAAAAGCATGTGACTAGCCTTTTTCTTTAAATGTGCAAATGATTTACTTGCCACTACCTCCTGTGAATACATAATTTCTAAGTATGACTTGCTGTTTAAAACTTGAGCCACAATAACAGAAGAATAAACAATTTACTATTGCTCAGTGTGAATTATGCATCTGATTTGCCAGCTCGGGAAGGGCCGGGGTCTCATCTGCACTAAAAAAAAAAAATCTGGGGGCTTTATCATCTTGCCACAAGTGCGGTGGCTGCCGGTAACAAAACACACTTGGCCGGGATATCAGACACCACCTTATGTTAGAAAGGCAGATGTTTATGTCGGTATACCTTTTTGGCTGCATGTCTGCATCTTTATGAAGATCTTTGTCAGTATAAAAGGATGGTTAAAAATTGTATCCCCATACGATGCTGCTGCAAACATTTCTAAGATGTGCTGACCTAGGCTAACTGTACTTAATGAAGGCTTTCCTTAATGAACTTTCAAAAAATAATAATAATAATTTTTGGATCACGGTTCAGCTCAAGAGAAATTGAGGCTCGGTCAAAAAGATTTTGCTCCAGTTACATTCTGGGGTGGTTTTTTAGGTTGTGGCACTTGTGGAAGGCGATCCTTAAAGATAAGGCGGGCGGCACTGTGTTTTTTACTTAACATTCATGCTGCGATAAAAGCTCTTGACCTGGGATTAGCAGTGCAGAGTAAACATCCGAAAACACATTGGACTGGCACTAATTTGGGAGTTTGTTTTCTAAAAAAGGTCTCTGGATTATTAAAGACTAAAAATACAGCCAGTGCTTTGTAGGTGGCTGGGCTAGACAGGTGCATTAACAGCACAGTGGGGAGAGAAGTCTCATGGAGCCTTTTATTGTTACATTTCATGCTGTACTTGACCTTGGAAATGCTTAAATTGTAGCTTTCAAGTAAAAACTAGCAGTTATATTTTACAGCATTCTATTTCATGAGGCATTAAACTTGCTATTAATAGTTTTGAGTGAGGTCTTTTTTTCTACAGGTCAAAAATGAAATTAAAAAGTATATAAAATAAAATTGCTGGCATGTGACTTCATTGATTCTTTTGGCTTCGATAACTTTGCTTTTTAAACCATAGTTACTCCCCAACCCCTTGACTCAACATTAGGTGCCTGTTTTCCAAGCGTACCTTGCTGCCATGCCTGGGCTTAGCAATAAATGTATGTACCACTGGACTCTCACAACTTGACCTTGCGCTTTGCTGTGCATGTGCAAGCCATTGGCTTTTTTTGTTGGATAAAACAGCCCCAACACAAATGCCAAGGCCAACCTTACAAGGTGCATAGCAATGCATGGCCACAAATACGAGCACGTCAGAGTCCTTTGCTCTTGCAGAAGAAGCAAAATAATGAAATAAATAAATAAACAAACAAACAAACAAATAAATAAGGAATAAAAAATAAATAAGTCATGTTTGAAGAGTGGATTTGCTCTCTGCCAGCTTAGCTGGTGAGCTTTAAGCTTCTTCATGCTTTCTCAGTTGATTTGTTCACCCTGGGCTATCTTTTGTGGAATAAGTACGTATGTTTGTTTGCTAGGCTCAAGAAGATGTTTCTTTCTGTCTCCTTGCAGCCTGAGCGGATTTCAGGAGAACAGTATGGAATTCATTCGGACGTTTGGAGTCTAGGGATTTCCTTCATGGAGGTATGCAAATATCTATCATTTTCATGCGCACATTGCAAGAATCAGTGAAATCTTAACAGCAAAATATTTGAATGTAGTCTTTGTATTAGTCTTTTATGTGCATGGTTTTAACTATTGCTACATTTCTTGGCTGTATTTAGAATGGGTTTGTTCTTACTGCCTTCTATTTGGTGAGACACAAAGAGCCTCTGTACGAACCACGTAACAGTCTTAAACCCTCTAATAAAACTCCGTATGAGAGTAAGAGGTAGGGCCTGATACATGGACGCCTCTGCATCCTTTCAACATCTCTGGGATTAAAGATGATGGTATTTCTGTGTTGCATCTTCATAGGCCGGGACAGAGTGGGCTATTATTAGGGTTAAAATTGCATTGTGCAGATTTAAGGTTTGAGCTGGTTAACGGCCTTGCAAAATCTTTTCAGAAACACTTGCACGATAGTCTGAGTCTCTCCCTGTGTGAATAAATAAAGTGTTTGAATGTAAGTGGTCATAAGGGCTTTTAGAAAGATTTCTCACATACATAGTTTCATGCAGGAGAGAGTCTTATCAAAATGAAGCCGTTCAAAGAGAATGGGGTCGTAAATGCAGTCATTCAGGAGAACCCGTGCTTTCTGCGGGTTTAGTCGGAACTAGGTCAGTTTTGGTTCAGGAAAAAAAGCAGATTTTTTCAGCTCAGGGCTCACCAGATGTTTTAAGAAACATGAATTTCAATGACTATAAGAAAGAATGTTTGTTTATAGGAAAGATAACCTAGAGTGTGGAAGTTGAGTAGAAATGCCTGTGGTATGGTTGCGTCTTGACCGGTAAAACCAGATCTGGTTTGGTCTGGTCTGGGAGAAGGGACGGGTTGCTCTGGCCTGGAGGTGACAGAAGGGTGTGTTCAGGTAGGCATCTTCACATGGGCTTGGGCCGGCCACAAACGAGTGAGCTACGGTCAGAAACCCTTGTAGTCTTGCCAGCTCAAGCAATAAGCTCTCAGGAGACTTCTTCAACTCAAGGGCAGTCCCACGGAAGAGCTTCCCCCTGCTTGGAGCGGTTATTTCTTCCTATAAGAACGGCTCATTCAAACCATCGGTGACTTGCATCATCTTTCTTGCACAGCCTGACAAAGGTGTGATACAAAGAACTGAAAAATAGAGGTGCCCTTCCCTTCTCTTCTGGTAGAATATAGTATCATTAAGGTGAAGCTGAACATACCTTTTGGTGAAATGCTACTGATGCTTTTAGCAGAAGATTAGATAGAGGCTAACAAGTCTTGGTGCTGGCCCCCTGCATCTAGGCACATTCTCACATTTTGTAGCTTGAAATTTAATGGAGATTATCGTTTTGTTTTAAAACAGGAAATTCCTTGCCAAATCAGTTTTAATCAAAATGAAAGTACTTAATGCTGAATCACTGCGTTCAGATTTTGTCAATCTTTTCCAGAGTCTGACAGAATCTAGCTCTGAATTACAATAATGACATACTTTAACGTGTCACAGGGGATGCAGTTCTTTTAATTTGTTTTACTGCAAATTTTAATGGTTTGTGATGCTGGAGAGCCCTCACAGTTTTGGGAGAGATACAGAATGTACTCGCACAGTCTGTAAATGAATCTAGCTGACAAAGGGCTAAAATGAGATTGTGTTACACGAAGACTTGACTATGGTGTTCTTCTTGATTCACAGTGGAGTGATAAAAATGCAGAAGTCCTATAGAGCAAGCATTTACTAGTTCGTTGGCTGAATAAAAAATATATTTTGACACGCAGTAGCAATCTGATGATTTACCATGTACATGAAGGTATTTGGAGTTTAGTTTAGGATTATTAGTAGGTAACCTGTCTAGTCATTAATTTTATTTGAAGGATGGATTTTGCATTATATTAGCCAACATTGGGACAACTCCTTTCACTTATGTTTACTCTCCTCTTTTAAACCTTCTCCGCTTTTCTTTTTTCCCTCTCTCTACTTTCCATGAACGTCTTCTGAACCAGATGTACAAAAAACAATTTGGTTCTGTGTGCTTTGTTAATTGGTATGTCATCTGGTCCTCCGAGACCTCTCTTCAACATGATCGCTGCTTTATTGAAGTGGTTTGAGTGATGTGTTAAATGATGAAAGCAAGGACAGTGGCTTAGAAAAATGTCTCAAAAAAGGTGAAGAAGATGCTCAAAGAGCCACACAAGGTCACTGTCATTAAAGTAGCACCGTATTGACATGGGGATTGGTAGTGGAGACACCCAGGCTCTTGTTGATGGAACTGTTAAAAAGGGAAGCTAGCATTTGCTATAAGATTTTTAAATCATCTCCACTTAGTAGTGTAATACTCCAATCCCTACAACTTTGCTCAGTTATAGCATATTAATTTAAAAGAAACGGCATGTTGGGACCATGTTAGCGAGGGCTGTTCTGACGTATGATAATATAAAATAGCAGCTAAGTAAATCTTCTCATTTTCTTTAAGAATCTTCTGAGCCTTTAAAACGTCTTGAGTTTCTTTGCTGCGAAGCTATGTGTAATGAGAAACTGAACTGTTACTTTTGAAGGTTAAGAGAACTGGCCCAAAAAACGTGTTAGCAGAGTGTGAAAAGTATTAGATGTGGGTGCCACGTAAGTTTTGAGGGATGGTGAGCGTTCTTGTTCCTTTTGAAGTAAGAGGTGTCTGAAAGTGCTCAGTCTTCCCTTTGCCAAAAATAAATTTAAAATAATAATTTTTTTTAAAAATGCTGCTTTTTTTTTATTCTTTCCTTTTTTTTCAGTTTGCATTTCTTCAGGATTTTCTGAAGTGAATTAAATTTAATACATAATCTAAAACTGTTTAAAAGTGTTTCATCACAAATAGTTTGTGTGTTTTGATGAGGTTTCTAGCTATTTAAGTGCTCTTGGGTTGACAAAGCAAGTTCCGTTTAAACCAGTCACACCGCTGTCAGTACACTGAAGGCTGTGTCAGCATTTTCATTTATTAAAGCTAGTTTTCAGGGGTTTATAACTAAGTCATAAAATACACCCTGGGCTGACTGGGCTGAGTCTGAGGGCGGGGTGCGCCCTGTCACCGACCCCGTCTCCCTCCCAGATCCGTGCGCAGGAGGATAAATGAGATTGCCTGATGGATCTCGTGAGTCTCCAACATGACTCTAATCCTGCCTTGCATGGCTGCTGCCCGAAAGTGAACTTGAAAGCATCCAAACCAGGATCGAATACACTGTGTTGGGTTTTGATAGGCGGCATACTTGTCCAGCGGTGCCTTTTGGTGGGAGTGTTTGAGGAGTAGGTGGTTATGCCTTCGGCTGAGCCGCTTCTCCCGGGCCAAGGGGCTGCTGCAGGAAGGTGGGTGAGAAGAGCCTTGGTGGGACCCTGATAGGGCTGGTGTGTTCTCAAGCCCCCCTGCTTCCGCGGGGGGGTTGCTTCTTGGTTTTCTCCCAGATTTTAGCATCTCGGAGCGGCCGAGCGCTGGCACTCTCACGAGACTGAGGACCAGTCTCCTGCACGTCACGAGGAGATGGCAGGGGAGGAGAAGGGAGTTTTGGGAAGGGAATGGAATAGAGTTGTGATCCGAGCTGTTCGTTGAGGCGAAGTACAGGCTTGCAGACCTTTGCTAGGAGATCCAGGGCTCATTTTATCTACAGATAGAATCGGCATTATATTATATTGAAATTCAGGAAATGAAAGTGATTTGCTTATGCCACAACCAAGTAAGTTTTGGAAGTAGAATACAAGCTCGTGCGCTTGGCTAATGATACCTTTTTGCACCTGGTTTTGTAGCACATCCTAGTCTCTACTTTTAAGTCTCTGCTGAGAAAAACAGCTACTTTTCTGTGTTTCAGGCCTCCTTTTAAACTTAACTTTTCTTGCAGAGGTTATCAGTGTTCTCTCTTTCAGGGAAAAGGAGTTTGTGTATCAGTTTTAATGTTAGAAACGAGTTCTTAAAACTCGCCAAGTGAGAATAAGTCTTTGGTCACCACCGTTCTCTGTTATCTGTATATCTGCAAGAGCTTTCAAGGGTTGCTTGTTGTTTGTGACATCTCTGTTAAAATATGCTGTCTTAAGCAATATTTCAGGCAGTCATACGACAGATTTTCAGCAGCTGTGTGCGTTCCCACATAGAGGAACACCCGTATATATCCAACAAATGTGCCTTACGTGGTGTATTTCAGGCACAGGCAGAGCTGTAAGAAGAACTCACTAAGACCACGAAGGCAAAGAGGAGAAACATGTTTGAAAAGGGTAACACAAGAGAAGAAGCTCTGCTTTAAGATGATTCTCTTAACCAATTCAGTTATCTTTAAGATGTTTAGCTGCATAAAACTGTTGTAAAGGCTCACGTATATGTAATCAAGGAGAGGAGGTTTCAGAATAACTCTTTCTAGGAGCCTAAAGTATGTGATCAGTCGCATGTCATCAGCTTTGAAGTGGCGACGGTTCAAGATCAAGATTGTGAGCTGATCTGCAGGAAACTCTGCGGACCGCGATTTTGTCTTCTGCAGGATTTCTCTTACGTGTGGACACCATGGTTGGTCCTTCATCAATTTTACACCCTTACCTAAACAATAGCAGTCAGACAGATGGAGGGGGGTGGAATCTGAGACCTGAAGCTTGGTGGTGCAGCATAATTTCTATAGCGGCACCAGAGACTTGGAGGAGGTTTGGTAGAAAGGGATGCAATCATGATGGGGCAACCGTGAATGTCTGTGACTGCTGGAACCGTGCAGTGACCTACAGTGTCAAAAGCTACACCCAGTAGAGGCAGGAGGAATATTAATTAAAATAGCCCATTAGAAGATGGCAAGGGTCAAGCTTAAAAGGGAAATGAGAATCTGCATTTAATCTCCATGCAGAGCAGGCGGCTTGGTATTGTAAGGAAATACTTGGCTGAAGTGAGGTGGCTCCGATCAAGTGGCAGTTCTTGCTGGAGTTGTCCTTGCTTTTTGTGTGCTCGGCAGGAGCAGAATCTTACTCTGCTTGTTTAAACTGGAAAGACTGGGAAAGGCCTTGCCATGGCGTTACGGCTGCTGGTGCT